TACTCAAATGACTTGGTCACTTAAATTTACCATCCCTGCTTGAATCCACTTAGGTTTAGAAACTCCCGGAACAACTCCCGGGCCTGAGAGCTGGTTTTATACAAATATTTGCAACATGACGTGAAGTTATGCTAAATTGATATCGTATAAGCACAGCTTTGTGTGAATATCACCAGATTGCCTTGGCAAATACGCCAGAGAAACTGACAATTACATACGAAGCGTCGGAAAAATAGTTGATAGTGAATATTAGGAAAATAGCGTCTAATCCTGGCTGTTCAACATTTACCGGCTAGACTAAGCCGATAAAAATTATCGGCTTAGCCGGCTTGGCTGATTTTCGGTTCTCTCCAATTATGTAATTCTCGTCATTGCAGGCTTTTTCATTCGCAAAATTATTTCGCAGTGGCTTCTTAATATTAAATATTTTGATTGTGTCTTCAAGCATAACAATTAGTACATCTGAGCAATTCAATTTGCAGAGGCTTAATTGACAAAATCTGTAAAAAAAATTATTTTTTCAAAAATCGCGAGTAACTCACAATTTTGCCTATAAAACTGAAAACTTTATATTCTAATTTAAGTTTTGCGCGCGTTATTGCTCTTATTTCTGGTTTGATTTTCACATTACATGATAACAGATAATTGACAAATTGCGTTCTGTTGCCCTTTTAAATACACATCGTTTTATTGCACGAGAACTTACACCTATTTGAGATTTAACTTGTATCTAATCCGTTAATCTGCTTTTTTTTTTAAAAAACGGTGACCAAAAAAGCTGGTATTCGTAAGAGAAAGAATTTTTTAATAATCTGACCCTTTTAGGTTGCTTTTTTATTGGGCTCCGCCTTGGCGTTCGCGCAAAAACACACACATGGTTAACTATTTGATATATGACAAAGGTAATTATTTATGGCGGTATTGGTAACTTAGAAGTTATCTTTATTGGGTTACCTCGGCATTAGCGCAAAGGTACACACTGGATCAATTGCTTAAATCACTTGTTAGATGGTTGATTTTAAGGTGGTAAATAAGTAATTTAAAGGAATTTCTTGCCAATATGGTCTACTAATTCTCAAGGAGTTAGTTATGTCTTCTTTATTGAAGAAACTTTATCTGATGATAATAATACTACTGTATTAACTATTTTAATAATAATAATCCGATTATTATTATAAAGCGCTCCATTATTAACTATAGTTGACTTGCAATAATTTAAAATTTTATTATATGAGCTGCCGTCAATTGAAATAAGGCGGATTGACATTTTAAAAAAAATCAAATACCCTACGTTTCATAGCTCATATCAGTGAATTCTGAAGCTATCTTGATGATCTAATAGTCAAGAAAGCTCAGATCTTAAGCTTTCTTTTGAATACTAAATTATTAAGATAACTTCAAAATTCAATTTATATGTGTTCCGCACGGATCGGATCTGACGGATACTTTCAAGGATCCGGATTCGATCCGAAAATTCGGATCGGGCTTCGCGTTTAAATAGGTTACGTACTGTACGTACACTTCACAGAAGTTTATTTCACATAACTTACACCTTGTTTCACAGACAATCAGTTCATAGACAAGCAGACAATTAATTTTAGACAGTTCATTTTATAGACAATCTTTAATAGCAAATAACTTCTGAATCAGTTAAAGATTGTCTACAAAATAAAACGTCTATAAAATGATCTGTCTATGAAATGAACTGTCTGTAAACTAATTGTCTTTAAAATAAACTTTTCTATGAACTGATTGCCTGTGAAATAAAGTGATACATAATCGTTTAAATAGACGGATCCTCGGATCTTAAAAATCGTGGATCCGGATCTTCGGATCCATTTTGAGGAACACTAATATGAATTACAAAATCGTATCTTATTTTTTTTAAACTTTAGTACTAGCTCTACATTAAAATGTAGCCGGTTTTTGTAATAAATTTTGGTTTAATTTTATTAGAAGTTATTGCAAACCCGGCTTTATTTCAGTGTAGAGTTAGTTGTCGTTGAACAGTGTCGTCACGCCCGACCATAACAGGCAAATCCCAGTTTTCAATTTTTATTGTTGGCTTATCCGTATTTTGAACGGATCACACCACTACTGTAGTTATTTGATAGTCGTAAGAGGGAAAAAGGTGACACACAATCCTCTAGAAAAAAAAAACACCAATTGCGCTGGCCGTTGCTCCACGAGAGTCGACGTTGCAGAACGTTATCTGATATTTATAGAGGCGGATTTATTTTACGCGAGTAGGTTAGAATGGGTCACGGGATTAAAAACCTAATATTACGGAGATTGATTTATTATATTTAAGGCGGGAAAGTACTAAATTAATTTGATTTTCGATTCGTATCACTAGTTTTAGAATTTTTTTTTTCATGCCTTTTAGCATTTTTTTGTTCTAATTTATCATTCCCATTTTCCCGCCCATGAAACACGGCCAGGCACTTGTTATTGTCAATGAATTGCCTTTTTTAGACGTTGTTATAAACGGTTCACGGTAGGGTTGCGACCCAACCTCTTTTTTTTAGTTACGGCGTTTCTACTAGTTTGGGTTTGGGAATCGGTATTTCTACTACTGTAGTTTGGATTCATAATCGAATCCCAAATATGTATCCCATTTCGGTAAATAGTATCAAATTCAAATACCGATACTTCAACAAATTCACTTTTAATCAAAAGAAGATTGATAATCTAAAATCGAATCCAATTCAAGACCATGAATGGGTTAAGCCAATAACATGTAAAAATTTTGGTTGAGTTTTGCCAAGTAATAAACAATTCATATTCTTCGTTAAAACTTATACCAGAAGAAACTGATTGTCAGATAATGCGTATCAGGAACGAAGTGCAACGAAGAATATGGTCATATTTAATACGCATCTGATTAGACAATCCATTCTTATGATCTCACCTTGGAATTTCAATATATAGCATCGAAGTATTCGATGTGTGCATGAGTTTAAATGATGTACTGTAATAAGAAAAATGCAATCAAAATGTTGTGTGATAAAGAAACATAATGAGCTTTTAAATTTGTTACATGTGCAAGTTATACTTGTTCTATCTATATTATCAATTTACGTATTATATTTATATGTATTGCACTAGCATGGACTATCCACTTTTTTTAAAGTACCTATTTCGTTTCACTTGATTTGGGATCCGCATAAAAAAATGAATCTTGTTATAATGGTTTATTCCATCAATATCGTATATGTACCGGTATGTAGGTCATATTGGCTTTAATATTAACTTTTTACAGGAGAAAAAATTTCTTTTCTTTTTTTCTATTGAGTAAAAAAAAAACCAAATTTTTATCCCTTCTTAAATATAACTTTTTAGACCAATAACCGCTTTTAAATATAACATTTTTGTCAGTGATCTTTTTAACTAAAATTTCAGTATAACTTCTGTATATGTTATTGTTTGGGTCTAAAGCGTGACAAATGAAAAAGCGAGTATTTTTTTTTATTGAAATATTGGAAGCTAATATTTCTGTCAATGCTAATTAAAATATTATATCACTTCTCATTGATCTAAATCCATTATTTGAGTACATCGCTTACGACTATATCTCCTAATGAAATGATATATATTGTATCAAGAAAGTATGCAGTAATGGCTCAATATATGTATATACACAAAAAAAAAAAAAAAAAAACTTTTTGTACTGATCAAAAGTTTAAGTGTGAGTTATAATCATAAGAAATCGATTAGCAGAGTTTTGAAAAAATCAACTGTTAAGCCGAAAATTATTGGTCAAGATTACTATTCCAACTTTTTGATCTCGGCATCGATATCGTCAATTTGTTCCTTAAGTTTATTCCATTGGTCAACTTGCAAACTCATGCCTATATCATTAAATATCATTAAATAACAGTAGCAAGGATATATAACAAAGGATACTGTAAGCTAAATATATACCTTTTTTTCCTGGGAGATATTCACCGTCTTTACGGAAGTATTCACGAAAATCGATCAAGATCATATTTTTAAATTCACGGACAGTAACACGTTTTTTATCGGAAAGCTAACGAATAAAATTCTTTTAATTCATAGGGTACGGAGAGAAATATGTAATGGTATGATTCTGATCTAACCTGGAAATATGCTTCACCCTGCTCATTTTCTCTACGATCGCCTTTCTTATCCTGACCCTTGGGATTCTTTGAAGCAGGACTATCTTCGCTATCCTCGCTCTCATCTTCATGTTTTTTGGTCTTTGCTTTCTTAGATCTTGAAGTTTTTTTTTTTTGCTGAATATTTGAAATATTTATTAATTAGAAAACGAAATCGAAAATATGTATAAAGATAATATAAGGGAATGCATAGCAAAACTATATACTTTTGGCTCGTCACTTTCTTGTTTGTCTGACTCAATCTCGTCTTCAAAATCATCTTGAGCCTTGGCCTACGTTAAACGTTAGTTTTCGCGTCTTCAAAGTTTACGAAACTATAAATCGTAACTTTTACAACCTTATAATCAGACTCCTCTTCGTCACTCACTCTTACTTTACTTTTCCTTTTAGTCATTTT